AGCAAACCAAGTCTAGACTGGTCTGTTGGCTCAGGGAGGGGGGACCTGCCAGCATCTCGGCTAAACCCACACCTGATGGGGCATCGGATGGGACATGAGCCTCCCTAGCAGCAACTTCTTCAGGCAAGGCCAGTCGCGTAGGCACCACATCCAGCAATTCAGTCCCTGCATCCACAGCAGGCTTCTCCTCAGTCCCTGCAGAGGCACCAGAGGGGGTTGCAGCCAGGCAGGGAGCCTGCAGCAGTGCCAGGGTCATGGGTGACAGCGGTGCTGGAGAGGAGGCAGCAGGCACCCAGGGCTGCCTGTCCATAGCAGCTGTGGAGCTCTCCACCAGAGCAGGTTTCTGGTCAGGCATCCTCACAGTCCGAAGAGTGCCCCAAGATCTCCTCCCTTGACTCCGCATCTTGGAGATGAGCTGTGCCATGCCTGTTGGAGGGAGGCTGGGGCCACCCTTGCTGCTCAGGAGAGGGGAAGACCCTGGTCCTGCCACAGCCACGGGCTGAAGCCATGGCCACTGCAGGCAGACGTGTAGCTTCATGTAGGCCTGCTCCCTCACCAGGGAGGCTTTCCAAAGCCACATCATGCCTCAAGGCAGAGCCAGGAGCAGAGAAGCCAGCAGTTGGGGTAGCCCCTGCAGCAGCACGGAGGAGCTGAGCTGACACAGTAGGCGCTTGGGAGAGCATCACAGCAATGGCTGCAGCACCAGACCCCTGTGCTTCCCCTGCCAGGGATCCGGGCTGTGGCACCAATAGGGTCTGAGGTGTTGAGGGAACAGCAGTATCTTGTGTCAGTGCCCCCAGGCTCAGTCTCTCAGCATCAGCACTGTGGTACAAGTCTCCTTCAACTCCTGGGAAGGTGCCAGGTGCCACCAGTGCCCTCTCAGATTGTTGCATTGCGGGGGAGGTATGTGGATCCTGATATGCTGCCACCAAGTCATCACTCACCCTGCTCTGGGAGGGTTTTAAGCCTGGCTGAGCATGAGAAAGAGGCTGGGAGGCAGGAAAGGCCTGAGACAGGGCAGCCAGAGACCCCACGCTGTATGGGAGCACAGTAGCAGACAGACAGATAGCCAGCACCAGGAGAGCTTTGCATCTCCACCCACTGGTAGCCTCAGCCACATTTGCAGCAGGACACAGAGTTATGCATGCATCCCCTTCTCTCTCACTCCAAAGTGCCATCTTTGGCCAAAGGCTAGCAGCATCAGCAGGGTTTGGTGGTCCTGCACCTCGGCTCTGCTTGGGGGATCCCATGGCAGGAGCTCAGCTGTGAAGAGTTGCAGCAGAAGCCTTAGGTTGGGTCCTCCCACCTCAAGGTGCACCAGCCTGCCCCCAGAGCACCCACAAGCCCAGCCAGTGCTGAGCTGCAGCCCCAACAGCCCAGCACACCCCAAAGGGCCTGGCCACAGCAGTGGCCAGAGCCAGGGAAAACAAGATAGACCAACACCAGGACCTCTGCAGGCTCCAGCTGCATTAAATGATTTTTCTGTCTCAGGAGCAATTTGTGCCAAGTCTCAGCATCAGGTGTTCACTTTCCCAAGAGCCTGGGAAGCTCCTGTTTCAGGAGACCTGTCACCAGTCTCCTAGTCAGACATTACCTCACCTGCCACCTGGAGCATCCAGCCTCACAGGGAAAAGCAAGAGCTGCCACCCCTTCAGCCAGCCAGTAACCCCTTCTTCTCCTTCCAGCCTCTGCCACCAGGCTGGGGGCAGCTTCCCCCACAGCTTTCTGCTGCACAGCCTCTCCTGCAGCCTGCTGATGTCCTTCTGTCCTCACACCAAACACACACACCAATGCACACCTCACAGCCCTTCTCCACCCAAACCCCTCCAGCACAGCACAAAACACACCAGCCCAAACCCACCACCAAGTCAGCATGCTCCTACCTGGCAGCACCCAGGCAGAGAAGAGAGCACAAGCCTTAGGCTCAGCCCTGCGCTTTTATCTCCTTCCCCTGCCCGTGGCCAGGCAGGCCCAGTCCCAGCTGTGCCCCGTTAACCCCCTCGGCCGTTCGCACTTCCCCAGGTGACGCTGTTCCCCAGCACAGCTGCCTGGGGCCCCCCCGCGCCCCTCTGCTCCTCATTAAGCCTTGGCACACGCAGGGTTTTACCTGGCTGTTTCTGCAGGTAGGTTGTTCCCCAAGCACCGTCCCCGCGGGTGCACTTCAAAACGCCGTACTCGCCCGGACAAGACTTTGTTGTGAGAGATGGGGGAGAGGAAGAGAAACGTTTGGGGTGCAGACATGGGGCAGGGGTTTGAAGGCAGCCGTGTGCTGCTGCTCCCCTTTTATGTGCCAGGAATTTGGAGGGAAAGGGA